CAGCTTCAGCCTAGTCTCACAACTGTACATTTAAATATTATTATTATTATTATTATTATTATTATTATTATTATTATTATTATTATTATTATCTACGATGACTTTGTTGATTGCTGTTCTCTAATGCAGAGGCGAGAACTGTGCAGTCCAAACAAACATTTGCAAAGGGCTAGTTCCTCCCAGCTAACAATGTGTACGATTCTGGTTATTTAATTTAATTTGTGAGTGTGTTTTTTAAGGAAAGATCCGTTTCATAGAACCTAGAGGGGAAGAGACCTTAAAAATCATATACTGTGATTTTTTTGCCCAAGGGCTGGGCTCACACAGTATATTAAACTAGGTTAAAATGGGGATGGGTAACCAGTCTGGGGAAACCCAGCCCTTGTCATGGCAGATTATGTGAATCATAATATGATTGACTGATTTGGATGTAACACACCATATGAACGTTACCATTTTGTGTTTCTGGCTGGAGATGAGCATTTTTGTCTCTTCTCCTAAATTCCATCTTTTTTACTCTCAGCAGCCTTGGCTGTCATGGTGGGAATGGTAACCCCAAACATCTGAAGAACATCAACCTGCTTAGCCATGTAATTAAGGGAACTTGGCTTGGCCCCACTGTGTACTTAAGGTGTCCTGCTTTTAAAACACTTTTCCAGGTGACAAGCCAGGATAAAACCCCAGTTGTGATCCGTAAAGCTATGGCCAAACACAATCTAGATGGGGATCGGCCGGAAGATTACGAGCTCATTCAGATCATCTCAGAAGAGAGAGGTATGAAAGATGGCAAGATGGCATTTGGTCTCTCAAATTTCTTTGTGCTTATTTCAGTATTTATTGTATTTGTGAACTGTCCCCAAACCTTATAACTCTGGATGATGGGCGACAAAGAACCTACTAGTAACACAAATAGTAACATAACTGTTAAAGATACAGAGCCACCACCAAAATGTATTAAAAATGTTCACGCGCCAGTTAGCTAGAGCCAAAATCCTGTTGAAAGTGGACGGTTTTCACAATTTTCCTAAATACGAGAAAACAATGTTGGCTAGTCTGTAGTTCAGTATGTCATGGAAAACCACCCATTGTGTGAACTACACAATGCATGAAGCCACCATGCAATGCATATTTTTAGGAGTAACATATTCTCTAACACGGGGGCCACCACAAAGACCTTGTCAAAATCCTTCTGCCCTTGAGCCCTTTTTCCTGATTTTTCCCCGTCCTTCCTGTCCGTTTTAGGGTTCTTTCCCCCTTGAACATTTGCGAAATGTCTCATCTTAGCAACTGCTGAAGTTTGCCAACAAATAGTGTCTTCTGCACTGGGCAGGAAGAATTTACACGGATATATATTTGTCTGTGTTTTCATGCACTCTCCCTCTAAGTATGCAGTTTCATATGTGCTTTTTCTACAAGAAAATGTATTTGAAGCGTCCTCTGGTCTCTTCTCCTTTCTGTCCCACATCTCCCGGCTCTCTGTTGTCCTTCCTCCAAGAAGAGGATCTGGCTTCCAGCAAGGTGCTAGACTGGAAACCCGGTTTAACAAAGCCCTTGGCTTTGCTCACATCACACGCTCTGCCCCAAAATATGCGTTGCGTTGTGGCTTCGTGCACACAATGGCTGGCTTTCCACGACGTACCGAACTACAGACTAGCCAGACTGGTTCCCGACTAGCCCGCTTCGTTGGGCCAGCCTAGCCAAATTGTAACCCGAGTCTTGAACCCGATGGCTGCAGATGGGATTGGGAATTAGAGCAAGGTTCAGCCCATCCCGAGAACTAATTTTTTTCTCCTTCTCTTTCTCTCCCCCGCCTAGAGCTGAAAATCCCCGACAATGCCAACGTCTTCTACGCCATGAACTCAGCAGCCAACTACGACTTCGTGCTCAAAAAACGAGGCTTCTCCAAGGTGATCAAGATCAACCACGGTTCCAGCTCTACTTTGCCCAGGGTGAAACAAAAAGGCCTGAAAATTGCCAAAGGCATCTTCTAACTTTGGGTGGGGGGTCTCCATCCCCCCCCCCACTGACTCTCCAGGTTGCAGTCTTGCCCCCTGGCCGTTCTGTCTTAAGCCACGCCGTTGGGTGAGTCGACGCGTCTAGTTTCTTGCCAGCAGCCTCAGATTTTCGCCAAGAAACTTGGGAAGGCTCGTGAGGACATCAAGATGGTGGGTGGCTTCTCCTCCAGCCAAGCTTCTGCAGACTCCTGAGCTCGTGGGGCGGGTTGGCAGAAGCTGGCGCTTGCCTTCCAAAAGATGCGTGTTGATTTTTTCCTCTCCGCCCCGTGGAGAATTTTTAGCTTTTTTTAAAACCCACCTTCCGAGGTGCGAGGACTCATCAGCCTGTGGCTGCGTGGACGTAACCACCCACCGCTCTGCCTTATCTTCTGTTGACCAACAAGAGTGGTGCTTCTAAGCGGCAGGCCTGAAGTTTTTCTCCCTCCTGCCGCCGGGACGTCCTGGAAGAGGGAGGACCTGGAGTCGGGTCCCGTTCGTTCTCCGACGGCGCAAAGGCTCGTCCGTCGCCTGCAACGCTCGAGATGACCAAAATGCACTTTGGCGGTTTGGGAAGGCGGAAGTTGGATCTGTGTTTCTCGTTCTTCAAGGAAATTCTGGGGGTGGGCGGGGGGCTTGGCCAGCTGAAGATGGGCGTTCGGGTGCCAGACCAAATCGCCCCCTCGAGAGAATTGACTTCCCAAACTTTTTCCTTGCCTTTTTTTTTTCTTTAAAAAGAATCTGCACCAAAGATATAACAGTACTGTTCTTTCTGTAGACGGACCCTCGGCTGACGCCCTGGAACAGGGGTAAAAGAAGCTTAGCTTCTGTACAGACGTGCTGTAAATAAAGATTCTGGATTGGAAGAAGAGTGGGGAGGGCGAACGATAGCTCTAAAGCGTGGGGCCGCCTCCCCCATTTAGGTTCCCGACCCCGCCGGAAAAGTGCCACGCTCGTGTTTTAACGCACTTCAGACTGACGATGAAGTCGGTCCTGTGACTGATGTGATCAGACTTTTGTAAAAAAAAAAAACAACAGTAACCACACCACCAACCCTCCTGAATTTACTAATTTCCCTTTCCTCGATATTTATTGTTTGTAAATAGGCCGGTTGGATTTATACATTTTACTAACCCTGTTTCAGAAGTCCCTCCTGTCCCTTTTCTGTTTTAAATGGCAAAAGGCTTTAGGGGTGTGGGTGCGAATGGGGGGCGCAGAAGCCCCGGTTTTAACGCGGCGGGTGTTTCAAAAGAGGTTCTTGCTTTTGAGTGCAAAGTGCTGGAGGAGGGGGTGTGTGGGGGGGGCGGTCAGGCGGGGAAGGGTTGAGAACCACCTGTTTTTTTTTTAACCCCCAAATGCATCAAGGCCCGGTGGGTCCATCCCTAAAACTGAAAAAGCAAAGCGGATAAACCACGTTTCGGCAAACTTCTAAGCCCAGAATTCACAGCAAAAGGGTAGCTAGGAGGCAGGGGTATTTAGCAGGGCTGGGTGGGACTGGCATGGCTCTGCCTTCACCCTCCTGATGCCCTGAACCCATGCAGCCTGTCTGGAGGAGGGCAATGGGCAAATCCAGGCCGGGGGGGTTGTTTTGAAAGGGCCCGAGTTCAAATCTCAAACTTCAGAGTCTCTCATTGGCAAGAAACGTATGGTACAATTTGAACAGAAAAAAGATGCGAATGCTGGACCCATTAAAACGGGGATGGAACCTCCAAGCCTCTGCACAGAATTTAACTGGACATCATCGTGTCCTGTCCTCATTTTTAGGACCCCAAGAGTCCTAGAGGGGGGCGCCCCATCGTCTTCCCACTGCCCTGTTTAATAGGAAGACGCTCGGGAGTCTGGTCTAAGGTACTCCTGAGAAAAACCTGCCCGTAACAGTGGATTTTTTTCCCCTCTGCCTATGAAGGAAAGGATAATAACCTGAAGGCAGAGAGAGTTCCTTTCCCCCTTCCTCACCCTTTTTTCAATCCCTTTCCTCCTTCCAGAAAGTTTTCTAGGAGTTGTTGCTTTTAAGGATTTACGCGCTCAAAGAAAACACTAACTTTCCTAGTCTCGCTTCCCTTAACCACCTTTCCTGTGGGTTGTCTTGGGGTGGTTTTCTTAGCCTCCCCGTTCAACCGCCTGGCTGGGAGGAAGGAAGGGGTAAGGGGTGATTTCCTTTCCTCCGTTGATCAGCTGGGTGAGCGCTTTCTGCCCCCAAACCAACAAGGATTCGCCTTCCCTTGGGCGGCGCAACCAAGCCGTCGCTCGGCGACAGCGAGATGCTGATTGGGGAGGCAGACTTTAATTCCTGCCTCTCTTTCAAATGCTTCTCGGCCTTTTTTTCTGCTTTCTTCCAAACTGGGGAGGGTGGCAGGAGGGTACCTCCAGCAGACTCCGCGGCGTTCTGGGGCGGGTGCGTGTGTGAGCGAGTGAGCTGTATAGGCGAGGTATATTTTGTACCGATTTCTGTGAAGTAGCACACTAACGCTGGGTGATGTGTATACAGCCATGTAAGTAGCCTTTTCGATTAAAAAGAAACCAGAAACGTGGATGTCTTCCTTGCGTGGCTCTCGAAGGGCCAGGAACTCCAATCTTACTTTAGCTGAAAGAACGGTGTTGGTTGTGCAAAAGAAATCCTGTTCGGCAAAGGAAGTGAACTGAGTCTGAACCTATTTTTGTGGGTTGGAGGGGAGTCTAACACCAGTTAGGTAAGGACTGGGTACCAATTTCTGCCCTTAGGGATGGCTTGGAGAAAACAGGAGCATGGACACGGCTTTTACGGAGCAAGATTCAAATTCAGTTCATTAGGGCTGTGTGGGGCTTTCGATCTCACCTTGAAGCAGCCGCGTCTCCTTAATGCAGATGCTTTAAAGAGCTGTCAAGAGTTGCCAGCACCTTTTTTCCCCTTCAGATCTGCTGAACTGCCCGGCTTTCAAAACTGATGGGCAATATTTTCCCAAGCATACCAAGATGCTGGAACTCGGGACTTTCTGCAGGCAGAGCAAATGAGGGAGATATCAGAGGGAGCCCAGAGAGTGAAATCTGTTTATTGGATCCTTGCTTTTTTGTACAAAGAGCAGAGACTCAGTTCCTATGCTGGTTTCATTCTAGCTCCACTGCAATGCCAACGTCGGGGAGACTCTGGTAGGCGACGCTCCAGAAATTAACATACGGAGCACGTAGGGCTTGCTTCACCGACTCATAGTTGATATTGTGGTTGATCTCAAGGTAAAAGGTGTTTTCATTACTGTAAGGCACCCAGCCAATGGGAACTTTGGACTCTCCTTTGTTGGGGTCGCTGGAGGGGAGAAAAATCACACAAGCTTAGTTCTGCAACAGAAAAGAAAACAGAGCCTCCTTCTGGCAAAGGGGGGTTAGGGTCTCCCAAACTGGTGTTTCCTAGGTTGAGAAGGCAACACTCTTAATTCTGGCTTTTTAGGGCGCCCATTGCCAGAAGGGCCCTGGAAAAAACCTCCAAGGGTGAAACCCGGGAGCTCTGTAGGGCACCCATTGCTGCAAGGACCCTCAAACCCAGATACCCAGCAAGCAGCAATCAAGGGTTTCCCCCTTCATGGGTGGGGTGCTTCAGGGCCGATGGCAGGCAGGAGGACAACTCCAGGAAATTGTTGACTGCAAGAAATACAGAGGCCTCTCACCCAGTTCTGGCGAAGTTTGTCCAGTACGCAATCATGGCCTGCGAAACAGTCCTGTGTCGTGGCTTGTAGCCCAAGGGTGTGGCGAAAGGTTTCCCGAAGACGTACTGAAGGTCGTCGGCGTGATCCGCCCCTACCCAACTGGGATAGACTGGCATTCGCGAGAGCTCAGAGAAGAGGTAGCTGTAGGTCCTGCCAGTCCTGGAATAAGTGAGAGAAAGAGGGATGGAAAGACATGGCAGGCCAAGAGCAAGACACGCAACACGCCCGCTGGGGCTCCCCGTCCCCCAAATCCAGTCCTTTGTGACTCACTGGGCGTTTTCTTGATGCAGCTGAAGGGCCTGCTGGGTGGGAACCAGGAATATGTAGTCGGTCTCCAGATCCACCACAGTTCGTTTTATGATTTCCTGGTCCGTCGTGCCACCCCACATCTGCGTGTACAAAGCGTAGGTGGCGTCTGCTCCTGCAACCCCCTTCTCCATGGTCAGCCCCTGAACCAGGTGATACACTTCTTCCCTGAAAAAAGAAAAGGTGTAGGACCTCACGTTTGCTCCCCATTTTAGGAACGTTCAAATCTAGAAGACCCAACAACATTTTTCTGTGGACATCTTGCCCACCTCGGTTACAGCGAAAGAACAGGTTGAGGGTGGATGGTCATGGAGAAGACGCATGTGGTCACTGGGAGTCGAAAAGGACTTGATGCCACCTAATCAATCAATCTTGCCCATGTTATCCAACAAATAGCCTTGGGCAGCAAGTTAGACTGAAAGAGATCACCTGCCCCCCAAAATCCACAGTGGGTGGGTTCACCCACCACGTTGCACCCTTTTGTAGCCTCCTTCCTGGCTCGGCGGGGCCTCCCCCATCCTATTTCCCCCCTTGTAACACAGGAACCCATCTTGCAAGGTTCCCTCAAGAAACGAGCACACCTTTGGCATCGTGGGCCTCCGTCTACAGAAGATACTGCGGAAGAGCCCTGTTAATTGAAGGTAGCCAAACATTAGGAAGTGTCTGGCAGTTTCTTTTCAGATTGACAAATTTTATTCAAAGGCGTCAGCTTTCGTGAACTCCAGCTGCCTTCTTCAGATGCAACGGAGGGGCTAGACTGACATCGGATTTACATTTCGGGCGAAGGGGAGCTGCAGCTAATGGAAGCTGGGGCCTTCGAAGAAAATTGTTCGTCAGCAAAGGTGGTACCTGCCTCCTCACGATTTTTGGCTACAATTTTTGGCTTGAGAGTCGACCCTTCTATTCTCAGACTAAACTCAGGCAAAAACTATTTTTTTCTTTTTTTTAGAGCTTTTAAGCAGAATTATATACTTAAGGACCGACTGGTTTTTGTGGTGCTTCAGGAATGTGCGCGCATGCGTGCGCACACACACACGTGTATCACAGGCCACCTTTTTTAGACCATCTCACCCTCCTGAGCGTGCCTTTGTTCACCTTTGTTCACACTTGGGTCTGTGGCTCGTCCCCTTTAGAATATGGGCTCAATAACCCAGGCAAGATATAATCCCATTTTCAGGATTGTAATTTATGGTAACCCCCGCCTCTCCCAGCATAAATGTACGTCTCCCCCTTTTGATAGCAAATCCAAGCATGTAATAGCTGTAACGACAGGCCAGGAAGGGAAAAAGTAGCATGTCAGCTCAAACTTTGCCACCGTGATGCCCTTTAGGGCTGCTAGATTATCAGCCCAACCCAATATCTCCAGGTGCCCCACCAGCCTTCCCACCCGGTTCACAACATCTACTCTGCTTCCCTCCTTACGGGGTGACCTTCACCAGCGGGCGGTTAAGGGCTGGCATGTCGATGCCGGCGAAGAAATGCCCGTCCATGTTGTTGACCCCGAGGAGGTAGTCGATGTCTGCTGCGTTGGCGAAGAGGTTCTCTGGGAGATCGGGGATGAAGTCCCCGTCCACCACCGGGGTGAAGGCGAGGTAGTGAACCAGGGGGTCTGTGGGGGGAGACAGCCAACAAGCCCATCATTTCAGACAGAAAGCAGGAAGGACTCTCTCAAGGAAAAGCGCCAGTGACACGGGGCAAGGGGTCTTCGTTCCAAAGGCATCTTCGGACGCAAGGCATAGCAGACCACCTCCCCTTTGAAGAAGCCAGCCCCAGTTGCCGGCGATAGATATCTGGTCTAGACCACGGCCGCTAAACCCTGAAACTCAATACTGCCCACTGTGAAAGCCTGCAGGACACCAGTATATTATGCAGAATAAACTTTAAAGACCATGTGGGAACCCCCCCACCCAAACCATCATCCAAGCATCCTTTGGAAGCAGAGGAAAAACTCAGCTCTGGATTTGGTGATGAAATCGGTTGAAGCAGAAGGGTGGTCTGGTGTGATCTCGGGGGTGGGAGGTTAGACATTTAATGAAAGGGTTCTGGTTTAAAAACGCTTTCAGGCATTCAGAGCATGTTGGTTTGTACAGCCAAATCGGGAAGCCTAAGCGGGTTGGCAAACTGTCACGAGAGGTTTTTTTTTTTTAATGCTTTGGAATCAGAGGGAACCAAGTTTCAAAATCAGCAAGTAGAGATGTCTGCTACCTTTAAACCTTCATGATTTCTTTTCTGAAACCCGCAAGCTAGAAATTAAAACACTGAAGGTCGGCCCCGATGACAAACCGGATTGGTATATTCCGAAGTAAGAGTGGACACTTATTTTCCTCTGGGAAAAGAATATGGAGTTTGGTTGGACTTAGAGGAAAGGGGTTCTAATTTTCCAGGAGGCCTCCTCAATTAAAATCAGTGGTGAGTCACGGGAACTTCAACTCCGATTCAGAGAATTAAGAAAACCCTGATGGTGTTTGACGTTTTTAAAAGGGAAAGAGGTGCATTGACGCCATTTTCCAAAAGGTCTAAAATGTGGAGGGCTTGTTTTGTGCTTTTCAGCTTTTTAAACATCATCATGGAAGCATTAGGCATGCGGTTTTGGAATATCTATCTACTTAAAAAAAAAAGGAAGAGTCACACTTTACTTTAGCTGCTAAAAGAAGCTCAACTTCCTTTGGGTGGGTTTATGAAACCTGCCCCCCCCCCAGACTCTCTCCCCACCACGTCACTACAACTTACAGGGCAAGTTGATAACGTCCAAGTGATAAGCAAGGGTCAGCGCTTTCGGATCAGTAACTCGGAGGCAGTTGGCCAGGACGGTCGTGTTGTCAGTCGGACAGCCCACTTTCTGCGCAACCTGGAAGATGGAATCTGTATTTATTTGGTTGTAGGAGAGGCTGATCTTCATGTGAACAAAGACATCTTTCAAAGCAAAGAGGGCTGCATTTGTTTTTGGGTTCACTCGCCAGGCAACCCTGGGCAGTGGGAAGGATTAAAAACATCAGATACGAAGGAAAAGGATGAAATAACAAAGCTTAATCGCTTATACTGGGTTGAGGGCTAGACATACAACTCATAGAGTTACAACTGGGCCAGCTCCGCAAGGAGAGAGTCAGTCTTTAGAGTCTTCTTGAAAGCAGGCAGGGCTGGGACCAACTGAATCCTATGGGGGAAGCTGTTCCATAGGGCAGGCGCTGAAACAGAGAAGAAATGCTTCCTGGGTCCCATAAGGAGACACTCTTTAACGGACAGGACTCCATGCCAATACAGTCAGATCTTACAGGATGGGCAGAGATAACTGGGGATGGTGCTGCAAATATTCAGGTCCTGTGCCATGAAGGTGTTTATAGGTGACCGCTGGCACCCTGAAGTGCATCCAGATGTCCACTGAAAACCAATGGAGCTCATGTACTAGCAGGGTCACATGGGTGTACTCAGAACTAGTTGTGCTGCTAGTTATGGACCAGCTGTGGCTTCCAGGTGATCTTCAAGGGCAGCCCAATGTAGGGTGCATTGCAGCAGTCCAGATGAGAATATAGGTGACTGAGTAGAGCCTCCTGATCCAGGAAAGGGTGCAGCTGGCACTCAAGATAAACTAGTACAAAGGTCTGCCAGCCACAGCTCCCACCTGCTCTTCCAGCAGGAGCTAGGAGTCTGGGAGGACCCTCAAACTTTGCACCAGCTCTGGCAAGGGACTGTACAACCTATCCAGAAGTAACTATGGAAAATCTCCAGAGCCAGGTGTCCCCACAATCCATAACCATCTGACTGACTCCTCCTTTTGGGAGAGATTTCAAAGGGCAGAAGCCACTCGAATAAGGAATATCCATGATGGTTCTTAGGCTGTATCTGGCCAACTGTGGCCTCTAGGGCCAGTCTTTCAGGATCACATGGAGGACAGTTGTTCTACTCCAGCCTTCTGGCTCCTCCAATCCACTTTTATGAGGGGAACATGGAGAGAATCTTAGGAAAATCCCACTGATCCTCCACCAGCACGCCTGGTAGGCCCAGAGCCAGGACTTACGGATGCAACATAAGGAGTAATCCCCAAAAATGTAATGTGTAGGTTCTACTTTACCTTGATAGCCCAGTAAAGGGGGTCTTTTTGAATGGCCCAAGAGCACAGACCGACTCCACTCTGGCTGATGGCCCGTTTGATCAAACCTTTGTTCTTTGGCGACAGCGTCTACGTGCAGGAAACACAGAGCAAGCTTTGAGAATCCATGGTATCAGCTTTAGCAGAGCCAGGCAGGATTTCTAGGAAATGCATTCCAAACACAACTGACTGGGAATGCTGAAGAGGTAAACCTAATTGTACCTTCCAGGAATAATGACTTGATTCCCAAGAGACAAGCAGGCTGCATTCACACAACCCACTAATCCCAGATTTAACTTAACCATGGACTTTGGAATTAGCCTAGTTCCAAATGAGCGTTCTGGCTGGGTTTGCAGAAGATGTGAAGCAAAATTAGGATTATCCAAATGGTGGCTTGCTTTTGGGAGATTTAGCATGCTAAATGCAATCCAGTGATGAGGCAATGAAACAAACATCCATTTGTTTTCTTTTTCTTAAAAAGTTGCCCTATTTGGTAGTTACCACCACCAAGGATCTGATACCAAGAATTCATCCCAACTTTTGAAAAGAGTTCTCACAAACACCCACCATACAGCCAAGAGCCTTCCAAGCACCCTCACCTGTAAGGAGACGCTGACGGCGCCGGCGGACTCTCCAAAGATTGTGATGTTGTCAGGGTCTCCCCCAAAGTTTTTGATGTTTCTCTTGACCCAAGCGATGGCCATGTGTTGATCTTTGAGGCCATAATTGCCTTGAAGAAGAACAAGATGAGAACATGAAGCAGTAAGCAACCACTGTTCTCTCTCTTTTATAAAATGATTTATGGTTTATTAATGCAGGAAATCTCACCCCACAATCAACGTGTGTGTCTTCCTAGGCCATAAGAGACTCTACTTGGGAGAAATAAATACACTTTACCCTTTAGAAATGATTTTTTTGAGACACTGAACAGAGTGTGAGGACGTTTATCTATTATTATTATTATTAGCCAGCCCACTCCAAAAGATTCTGGGTGGCCAATTATGGAGTAAGGAACCCTGTCTCCCCATAACCTAAGGCGCCTTCTTGAGTATGTTTATGCAATTGGCAAGGTTCTTTCCTTGGCCTAGAAAAGCTGAATGTTGAACTAAGATGAATGATTAAGTCCATCTCTGTTCATCCCTGGGTCATTTTTAATCAAAACTGCTCTTTAAAGCAGGGTTCCTCAACCTCAGCAACTTTAAGATGGGTGGACTTCAACTCCCAGAATTCCCCAGCCAGCCATGCTTTAAAGGAAACAAAAAGGACACATTTTCACCTTAGGGTGAAAGCCAAAAGGGTGACTTTGGGCCAGTCTCTCTCTCAGGGGAGGAGGAGGAGGCAAGGGCAAACCACTTCTGAAAATCTTCCTCCCAAAACTGCAGGGACTTGTCCGTGTTGTTGTCACGGGTCAAGAATGACTTGATGGATGGATGGATGGACGGACGGACGGACGGATGAAAACCTTGCACTAAAAGCAACTAATTAAAAGCAACTGAAAACAACTTTGGAAGCTAAAACACGGACCCTTAATCATTATAAGACCTCAGCCTTACAACGGATACAGAAGAGCATGCTTCTCCAAGAACTGAATTCACCTGGAAGAGCAGCATCACCAGTGCTTAGGAAACCCAAGGGCCCAAGCCGGTAGTTCAGGGTCACCACAATAACCTTCCCACGGCTGGCAATTTCCTCTCCATCGTACAAATAGTTGTTCAGGAAGTTGGGACCTTGTCCACCTCCCCAGATGAAGGCTCCTCCGTAAATCCAGATCATCACCGGCAGGTTGGTGGAGACTGAAGCACAAGGAGGTGGCAAAGAGAAGCGTGAGGCACGCAAGAAGCAAGCTTCAACTCAGCCTGGACTGTCCATCCCCACCCCAAGGATGTCCACATCAGCACTCTGAACTTCAGCAAAGCAAGAGATGTAGTTGGCTAGTTTGCGTTCAGCCTGTTGAAGAAGCCAACCATGGTCTTCAAATGTTGAGTGGAGGCCATGTTAAGTCATAATAGGGTTTATCTTTTTGGGCATCACATGTCATGTGAATTTAGGGCTTGGGACATAAACCCAACCAACAAATGTGTGGATAGATTACACAGATCTATTCTACTCCCCCGAAAGCACAAATCCAGTGAAGGTTTCAGCCTCACTTCACTCCAAAGTCACTGTTCCAGGACTAAATTCCTTGCTGCCTTCCTGTAGGCCATGAAGAGATTGGTAGGCTCAGACTGAAATAGCCTCTTTCCAGGTAAGTTCCCAAACTTCTGGCCCTACAACTTTATATGTCTGCTCACAGGAGCAGACAAGGAACCACCCTAATCTTAGAAGATGCCAAGATTCAGATTTCTATATGGCAACTATATGAGGAAAGTAGCTGGCCAATTTGGCCATCGGGGAGATCCCCTAGCCATCTGCAAAATTACATTCCAAGCACAGAACGTTCTGCGTTTCCCACAACCTTCCATGTTGCACCCAGACTTGCTGTGGGGCTGGTTCCAGATTTTCCAGAAGTGGAAGATGGTGGGGCTCCAGGCATAGTCTGGTTTTCAAAAGCAGAGCTTGGGACTTCCTTGGTAGCTCGCTTTCCTGGAAGGTCAGCAGCCCAATAAGGAGGGGAAAAATGTGGGCAAACATGAAGTTCTAGCACAACCTTACCTTGTTTCTTCCCTTGAGGGACCCAGATGTTCAGATAGAGACAATCTTCAGAGCCACGCACATCTGTCTGGGTGAGGGTGGTCTGCATGCAACGTCTTTTGTATTCCTTAGCCTTCAGGGTGCCTGAGAGACAAAGGACACCACAGAATTGGTTGCCTATCACTTGGGGTGGAGTATGCTTTGCGGGAGATCTTGAAAATCCAGTCTCTAAAATCTTCCACATTCATACAGCTTTTAGATTCACAAAACTGGGGGGATGAGGCTTCTCCTCACAATTTTTAATCCTTGGATACACCTGCCGGCCTCCAATACTTGGACCCTATTGATGACAAGCATCTTCAGGTTTCAGAAATAGCAAGCAAATATGTAAAACCATATAAAGGCCGTGTTCGTGCAACACAGATTGGCTGCATTCGCGCGAGGCCCTTAAGCAGGTCAGGTAAGATTGAGCAGGTGCCCCTAAGCCATGCATGAACCTAGTTTAATGCTAACCTTGTTTCATCTTTTCGTGGCATGTTATCAGCATGCAAACCCGAGATACAATTTCATAACTAGGTTAAGCGCATTGTGCAAACGCAGCCAATCAAATGAATGTACATACCAAAAGCTGTAAGATAGGGGCTGCTTTTTCAAGGGGGGGGCTTCTCTTGATCTATAATTGCTAATGTTGAATGATTTATAATGTTAAGTGTCAAAGGGTTCTACTACTCTTTAAAAGCAGTTTCTTCTTCAAGTATCAAGCATAAAAGTGTGAAATTCAATCTTCTTTACAAGCAATTCTAAACTACTTTACGCTTTTCTCTCTACTAAATCTATTCTGTAAGATGCGGGGCTCTGGTTGGGCTCAGTGCAGGATCAGGGACTTCATAAAGAATTGCTTATCTGGGCTTGGCTGAAATAAAGTGTCTTGTTTAAAGACACTGAGAAACCAATCTACATTCCCACATGCTAAGCTTGATTCCTGTTGACCTGGGTTATATTCCTGGGGCTTAACATGTTGTATAACCGAGCTGGTGGAGCCCAGAAAATGGGTCAATATGGACCCCAGCTGAAGTGACATGCAAAGGAGGGTACCAAGGCATCTTGCAAGTACTGATTGCATCCAGAATTTGCCAACTGGGCTTTCCAGATCTGCAAAACAGCCACTTGGATGGGGACAATGGGAGTGGTAGTCACAGCCGTAGGCCCAAATTGGGGGAAAGTACGATGAGGGCTGCAGTGGAACTTCTGATGAGATTCTCCCCACCCAACTGTTTCTGGAGCTTTAACCTTCCGCTGCTGAGTCACCAACCTTTCCAAGGCAACAGTACCGTAGTGCTAATTCTGGAGGGCAGAAGGAAATTCAGAATGCTTTTCCCAAACCCATACTTTCGTAATAAATCCCCCCCTCCCCACAACTTTCTAGTCCTTGAGGATGCAAAAGGATGCCTTCAAAAGCCTCTGGGGAACATCTAGCAAGATCCAGAAGGGTGTGATTCTTCTTCTTTCTAGTTCCCCAGAGTGGCCAACCTTGTGCGTTTGCTCCTCACCCACCATTAAGCTGAACCTGGAGAAACGATGCAAAAATCACACGAAAGCAGGTTGGTACAACATGCAAATGCTCATCACCCCAGAAGAGGAGCCTAAATCACTTATGGCAAGAGAGGCATTTCAGTGGCTTTAGAAGACGATGCCCAAAGTGACTCCCGATCCTTAGAATGCGCTCAGGACAAGCGTTACCAGCTGAGAAAAAGAAGGAACTTGTCTTCTCCTATCTTACCTGACCAGCCTGGATGGGGCTGGGGGTCTTCCAAGGTCTTTGTTGGTGCAGCAAACGGGATTCCTTTGAAGATATCCATATAATCTCCCAAAAGGCTCAGCTTTTTGTTGACGCCTTCCACAAACCCGCCTTCCGTGTTTACGACGCCCAGCTAAACCCGCGCCCCGAAAGGGAAGAAGCATACATTATTTTCCTGCATGAAGAAAGGCACGGCAATATTGCCCAGTCAGCTGCATCATCGACGTTCGTACTGGTTTCAAAGAGGTGGAACCAGAAGGGACAGTTCCCTCTTCAAGACGCCCTGCTCGGTTTCGCCCAAAATATTCTGTATATGCTACAAGCCTGAGCAAATGAGAGAACTCTTTGCTTTATAACCTAAAGGAACAGGCCAGAAAAGACACCTGGAGGGTTACAGCAAGAGGGGGGCCTTGCAGGTAAAACTCTGCTTCTATAGTAACACCTCAACCTCTGATTATCAAAACCTGGGGAAGGAGATAGAAGTGTCCAGCTCAGAGGCATAACAGTAAAGTAAAGTGGACATTATTGTCTTCCAAATTTCTGAAGAGCTGCCTGGAGGCTGGAATGAAATCCCAGGGCTCAACCTTTTGGCTTTTTTTTTTTTTAATTGGGGGAAGGAGGGTAGTTTAAGACTGAAAATGGGCCTCGGAGTCCCAGAAGGCCAACCACTTCCATTCCTGATCTTCAAACGTTCTTAGATTTGAAAACAGTCCAAATCGGGTCACTGGCTCTTGATGCCGAGCAAGCTAATCTTGGAAACGCAATTTCACCGTTTCGTTTGGAAAGCCAAATCTTGGAAGCAGAGTTTTCGGGGTTGGAAGAGACCTCCTGCCACCGTTTTCCCCCTTGTCTACCCCTGTTGAAAAACCCAGAAACAACATAAAAGCAGAACAAATCAAATGTGCTCCCCCAAGGGGGACCCTCTGCTGCGTTTTCGGCCCATTTGCTGTGGGAGACTTGAAGCTGCTTCAAGCCCACCTCAACCAGGAGATACGTGCTTTGTGGCCAAGCACTCTCTTGCAGAGTGGTTACCGTAGGGGTAAAAATTAGGAATTTCCCCCTCGTTTGCTGCCTTGAGCTCAGAGAAAAGTCAAAGTATAAATGCAATAAATGAATAAATACCAGCTTGTATTTATTGTTGATCCATAGGAGCTGGTCCAGGCCAAGAGTGCACAAGACCAGCCAAGATGGACCAGTGGCTTGACTCTAAGGATAGACACTTTCTATTTGCATCCGTGATGGAATCTGCTTTCCCCCCTTGTTCATTCCCATCCCTTTTCCCTTCTGTGCTGGGTCTTTTCAGTTAGAAGCCTCGCTGTTCCCATGCAAGCTGCATGGGGAAATCTTTTTTCTGCCGAGTGAGACTTAACCAGTGTGGCCCTAAAACACGGTCGTGAAACTTGCAAAGACGAACTCGTGCAGGCCTAGAAAAGTACTTTACATTAAGCCAAAACATTGGGCTGTTTGATCCATAGCTATGTACTTTGTTCTCCAAACATCCTCTCGGATCTAAAAAACTTCAACGGAGATACTGAGAAACTCATCTACAACTTTTCGAGTCAGGCTCCTGTAGCAGTAAGAACTCAGCGTTCTCTGGGAAGCCTCTTAGTAGCACCTCTGCTCTTAGAAACGTACTCTTCCCCAATACTTTTCCCTAATTTGCACATCTGCATTTCTGCAAAAGTGAATCCCCCAGAAGATAGAGGTCAAAAAATCCAGATTCTTTGAAGGAGATCTGAGTTAACTCTCATTCAACTAGATATTAAAAATATATTTTAAAAAAAGGATAACTGAACACAACGCAGCTCCTAACGCTTGAGCTATAACTTCAGGATCCAAAGACCTCACAGAAACAATTAAGATAACCCCAGATAAAGGAGTGCAACGTAAGGCAAAAGTGAGACTCTTACTATTTTTTTTTTTTTTTGCTTCCAAACCTTGAGCTTTATGCTCTCACTTAGAAACAGTGGTCTTGGAATCTCCCAAACCCCTTTTGGCTTTAATTTCATTTTCTTTCCTCCAGATCACCTTTTCCCTCCTGGCCAAGATCTGTACATCCCTTAGTTAGCTCAGGGGTTACCTTTGCAGCCCCTGCTGCCTCCAGGCAGAAGGCGAAGGCAAAGCTCAGGACGATCCAGCGATCCATGGTGAGCTCCGAACGGGGCCGCTCTGTTCCAGGTGGATGGTTTTATACCCTAGGTATGGTTTTATACCCTAGGTTCAGTTCAAGTTATCTCTAGGTAGTTCAAGGGCATGGCTGTCCCTGTCACAGCTGAACAACGGCCACAAAAGTTTCTTTGCTTGCTGCCAACTTTTGCGGAGAAACGTCCAAGGTAAATGCTGTAAATGGAAAAAAATTATCTTCCCCTCGAACTTCTCTCTATCCACCAGCTGGTACTCTCACATGTACAGCCCCCGACCCCGGCAGAAAATAAATAAAACTTTCTCCTAGAAACAAGCCATAAAAAAGTTTAGAAGAACTAGGGGGAAAAAAATGACTTCTTTTTTAATTATCAGCCCTCCACAAGGATATAGGATGTATTTTGAAGTCATCTGCTTCTGCAATACCAAATCTGAAGATACGTTTTGGAATTTTTTCGCGTTCCTTCTTAAGTTGGGAACAAAATGTGGGGCTTGTATCACTCCTACATTCTTGCCCAGATCCTGCATGGAGCAGGGGGGTGTCCTCAAAGGCGGCTAGCTCCAAATTAGATTTCAAATAAAGCCCCTCCAAGTTGCTTCCGAGCAGCCTTGTAAACAAATCTCACTTAAAATATTTTGAAGGCACAGATCTATTCCTTTACTCGCACTCAAGCTGAAAAAGACATCTCTCCTGCTGAACAAGACAGTGGGAATCCCTTAGTTTAGAAATCTTAGAAATCATTTGCTTCTCAGATGCCCCACAAAAACCCAAACAACAGAATCACAGAGATTTTTCTCATGGCTTCATGAAACAAATTGCAAATTACTTAGGTTTGACAAGAGCAGGAACAACTCAACCATAGTAAGCATGGAAGGGTAATTTTGCTTGCCAGTTCTGAAGGCCTGAGATAATCATCAGGGCTTGCTTGAGAGTTCTGCAATGGCCAATCCTGAATAAGACTTCATGAGTCAAAACTGGAATGAGACGGGCTCGGTCCATGACTGTAGATCTGTTGAAATGCCAGAGGAATTCTCCAAAGTGCGGGTTTCATATCTGCATCTGAACCCAGCGGTTGCATCTAAGAATGCATCTAAGGATGGCAAAATCTAACTGTCGCTGAGCTCTTTAGGAAAAAAGAAAGAAAATTGCTGCTAGATACAATTTATGAACGACGCTTCTGCACCAAGCCGGTCAAGTCAAAGACACAATGCAGCCTGTAGGTTGATCTCTTTCTTTCTGCGTCTCCTCCAAAGAAATCAGCAACACAAACGTCTCCCCCAAGAACCAGTCCAGCCCGTCGGCTCCGTAGCATTACACGTAGTCCAGAATTTCGGTCTCCATTTCATTTTCACTCCCGTCTGAAGGCTTGAATACTTCCTCTTCTTCCTCCTCCTCTTCCTCTTCGCCAGATTCAAAAGCCAGCTGTTCTTTTCCCTCTGTGGCACTGGAAGGGCTTCTGAACAGAGCTGAACCAGAGAAAAGAGAATTATAAATGAGGAGCAGAAGGCTTGGAAGCCTCGGTTAGAATAATTCAGCGGGATAGTTTCGTACAGGATCTGGCGCTTTTGAAAATCTCGTTGCCACTGAAGACAAGACTCCAGAGTTATGGGGAAAAGCTCGAAGAAACACAAAGACTTTTGATTAAAACAGCAAGAAAAAGAGAAAGCCTGCACTGGTGATATTATTAAGCATAATTTGCCAATTCAGAATAATGGCTCATGGGTTCAGTGAAGCTCCTCCAGGATAAATGGGTCCAAGTTTAGAAAATTAGGGAGAAATGAGTAGGAAAAATATGCCAGAAGGAGAACGTGGAAGAAGTTTAATTAAATTTCAAGGAGAGGTCCCTCTCTATCCTCCACAAACTCCAAACTGCCCCACTCTTAACTTCCAGAATTAATTATTATTGATCACGCTGGTTTCAAATAATTTACACACGTGATTACAATTTTGGAAAGAAATAAAGACCATAACGTGATGTTGAACTATATTCCTAAAACATGGAATTTGGCTTCTCATATAAAAAGCTTTGATTCTATCGTGCCTGCAAAGAGGATAATGTTACATAAATAAATAAACTTCTCCTGATTTTAAGAAATGGTCAGGACATGAGTCTGTTACCTATTTCTGAAAAGCCTTTGTCTTCTGAACACAAGATGAAGCAATAGGTTTCTATACGGTCTAGATTTAATAAGCTTACAGACTGGATTTTTACATCAATACCAATGGATATTACATGGATCTTCTGTCTTTTTCTTTGTTAATTAGAATTTTTTTGTCACGTTTACTTTAATCACCATAATAGATCTAGTTTTTTCCCCCCTTTTCACTGTATAACCAGTGTTTATCTTTTATTTTCCTGTTGGGGTTTACAGTCTTCTCTATTTCACCAGTAAATATTAAAAAAAAAAATTAAAAACTCTTGGAGGCTGAGACAAGATGCACACCTGGACTTTCCATCCCCCTTCCCCCTCTACCTGGCCTTTGGGACCGGATAATCTGCCTTATCATCAGCGACATAGCATCCCTCAGGTCGTCGCTGGTCTTTGGAAGACACCAGCCGTCCCGTTCCGTACAGGCCGCCTCCATGCCGTCATTTCGGTGGATGATCTTCTGCAAGCTGAACAGAGGTTGATTTCAGGGTTGCCCTTCCCAGCATAGAGAATCGGACAACTGAAATATGAAGCACGGGCTGGTCCTGCTCTGACCTCCAGGGTCAAGAGAAACTTGCTTCCTGGATGGACCAAACCATGGCTGTTATTAGAGCCATTTCTTGGAAAGCAGTAGCCAATGGGGATGGCATAACCTTTGCTAGGGTACGCTTGCTATTTGAGATGCTTGGTGGGGGTGCCTCCAAACAATGGGGAAAAGCTGAATTTCCGAAGTGGCGAAGCAAAGAACGTTGAAACGAATAAATAGGCTGGGTTTCAACCACAGATTAAGCCACAAAAAAGGAACAAGATGAGATCATCTAGTATGTAAATGCAGGTACTAGGCTTCTCAGCTTCCGTTAAGCAGTAAGGTCATGTTGCCCCAAAACCCATGAAATGTTGCCAGCAGGAAGAAACAGGAATGAAGTTTTTTAGTCTACCCGTGCCCACTTCACTCTTCATGCTCTCTTATCACTCTTAAATTGTACAAGTTTGTTGTTACACAAATAATTCCCTCCCCATCGCCCCGTTTCATCCTCCACAATCTTAGACCCCCAGCTTCTTTTCCCACTTCTGCCTCCTAATCCCAACTTCAGGGGTTTAACTGTATTCCATAGGAATTAATGGCAGCCATACAGTACATAGAAGGAAGGAGAGACATCATGGTGGGAAGTTAAATCTTCCACCTGCAATAAGAGACCTTGAAAACCAAATTTGTTCTCATCTGCAGTTTTGGGGCTTCTTAAGATGCCTCCTGTCCCACTGACACCAGAAGGGAGGGGCCCTGTGCAATTCCTTCAATGTCCCTCCAGAAGACTAGATGAACACATTTGACCAGCCTTCCCAGGTCCCAGAATTCTCTGGAATAGCCAGACTAGAGAATTCTGGGAGTTACCAGATTGGAGAGCACCTTGAGAGAGTCTATCCCAAGTCTATGTTTCTGGAGGCAGGACCAGAAATTGGAGCTACTGGGAAAGAGACTGGAGGCGTTCTCCTTCTGCAGATCAAATGTTCCATGGATAAACGCCTCAAGCTTTCTCCCATTAAGACTGAAGCAACTTTTTACCCCTGCCAAAGGCAATTTTTTTTTCCCAGCTGCAAGCAAGAACAGTAGAAAGAATTCCTGCTGTCCAAGCAAAACGCGACTGAAATGCAAGATGATTTCAATCGCTTCCAAAGGTCAATGCAAATACCATTCCACTTTCAAGTCGCACAGCTGGTAGAACATCTGTCGATAAGGGGGCAGAGACCCTTCCTGGAAGATATAAATGGAATCCTAGAACAGAAAAAGGCAGAGAATCAGAGGCAGGGTTTGACTGAATCCTATCTATGGAAGGTCTCAGCACCAAAGGCTTCAATCTTTCCCTAACAAGGTCCACTGGTAGTCCCCATGAGGACTTAAACTTCTTGACCTGAGCTGTCTTCAGAAGATAAATTACCAATTTTTAGAGCTGCACCAGCTCCAAGGCTGAAGATAAAATTAATAATACATAGTTCTTTGCAGATTAGCTGTTATTACCTATGTAGCTTTCCCTTAAAAATTATCTTGGGACCTTCTGTGAGTCTAGATCTCCCAAAAGGAAACAAGATGCCTGAAGGTAAGATCTTCCTTGCACGCTACGCACCCAGGTAAAAAGAGAAGAACACGCACGCAAAGATCAAATACTTACTTTAAGTTTGTATTTGCTAAAAACTTGGGATTTTGCACTGGATGTCCCGGATGTGCTCAGCCCCTGTTTTAGGTCTTGGATGCTAAGTGGATGACTTCCTGGAAGGGATGTAAGGAGATGATCTTAATTTCTTTAGGATAACAAAAACATATTGGAGTGTGAATGGGAAACCTCTGGGTCTCGAGATGTTGTTGAACTATGACCCTTGGCAGCCTTAGCCAGCATGGCCAATGGAAATTCTCAGCAGTAGCCATGTTGGCTAGGGGATTCTGGGAGTTGAAGTCCACACATCTGGAGGGCATTCAAGCTGGAGAAGAATTATCTATGCGGATTGGTGGAAGCTCTCCATGGGTTCAAAACAAGCCTTTCTCAGCCCTGATGAGACAGATCAGTGCTAATCTTCTAGTAATCTGTAAGATGCTCAGTTTGGGACAGGAGACTAATTTTATGACACATAAAGAACAATTAAGGGCTCTCCTATGAACAAAGTATGTGTTCCACCGACACGATCCAGGACATTGCCAACAGTAGGCATTTTCCAATGGATCCTTTGCGACTTGTCCCAAACATGTCCAGACTGATCCCCAAAAGAAACCTGCTTATTAGCGGAAAGCAAAGCAGTTTCATTCCAGCTTCTTACGGGACACCAAGCCATTCCAACCACCCGATCACACGGCGTACCTGGTTTTTTTAGAGTAATAGGGAGACTGTAGTTGTACGTGCTGCGTTTTGCTTTCACCGGCATGTCGTTTGGGGTGTACCCTAGGGAGAAGAAAACATGAAGAAGCAATTAATTGCAACTCACGGGGAAGACAGGACAAACACAACTGGCTTGGGCTTGCTGGACTTCGGCCAAAATCTGGACCTCCCTGGAAGCAATCTGAGACTCCTCAAGAGAGAAAAAGCGTTATTCGTGGGGGAAGACAGACTGCTCACTTTCCAGTTTTATTGTGCCAGTACAGAGGACGGTGCAGAGTCTTTCACGCTGCACGGGGCCACAGCAAGGCCTGGAATGAACTCAGACAGTCAATGATTCTCTGCAATTTTCTGCAAATTTCCTGCGGCTACCGAGGTCTCGTGCCCAGACTAGTCAACATGGCAAAGCCCCTCCAAAGGCACCTATCTGGAGTCCAATGTTTATCAAAAGGAGCAGATGTGCTTAATTTGCAGTTTTGCTAGCTAACAAAACTTAGGGGAAAACAAAAAGCCTTGGATTTGCAGGTTTGGGGGTTTTTTTCCCTTCCCTCGCTCCCCTTTCACCTTTAAACTCCTGCTTTGAAAAAGGTTCCCCAGTTTTAAACGTTTTACAGTCACTGGGGAAGCCCAGCATGAGTTGATGAGCTGTGCCACAAAAAAGCTCCCCCCAAAACAGAGGCGAGAATGAGACTGAAAGCTGGAGCAACGTTCCGGCTGCTGGTTTAGATTTTTACCGTATTTCATGCCGCAGCGAATTCTGAAATCCAGGACCTGATAGATTTTGGCTTCAGGGTGCTTCCGGGGATCATAACCGAAGCGAACCCATAGGCTTCTCCAGGGACCCGTGAGCTAAGGAGCATGCAGAAAAATACAAGAATCGATAACACAGATGACGTATGAAGTACCCCGATTTCTACGCTGCTTTTAAAAAATTATTATTCATTTTCATTGGAGAATTTTTTTACAGCGCAAAAGCAATACACATTTGAAAAAAGAAAAAGTGATAAGTAAATAAGTAAGAAATAAAAAAGACAGAAGGGAAAGAAAAGAAAAAATATAAAGCAGCAGCTTCCGATCTTCTTTACAGCAGTTATAAACGCATTTATATTTCACCTTCTCTCTCTCTCGTTATATCATGGCCCCTTCTTCCCATAGTCGACCCTTTCTAATCGTTAGACCCATAAATCACAAGTTCGTTTTTTTCTGTTTTCAGCAAAAAGTCAGTAAGGGGTTTCCAGTCAGCAATAAACGTAGATATTATCTTTTCCCTAATGAAACAAGTCAGTTTTGCCATCTCTGCAAGTTCTGTCCTCTTCACCAACCAACCCTCCATGGTGGGTATTTCAGAATCTCTCCATCTTTGTCCATACAATCATCTCGCTGCCCTTACCACGTACAAAAACAGTCGTCAAACATTGCGGGGCTCAAAAGCTTGCTTGGAAATAAACCCGATGCTGTGTGGCAGGGCAACGTTCCCGTTTACGTTCTTTAAAATAATATATTTTTTAAAAAAAAGTCAGGAGAGCTGATGACAGCAAGAGAGCTCCCCTCTACGGGAACATAGGAGGATCATCACCCTGGCAAATGGAGGCACAGAAGCTATGCTGACTTCAGTCTTGTTCTCTCAGCTTTCCTTCTCAGAAGAGAGAGATGAAAACTAAGCCATTGGCTTTTGCCCATCTTCTACATTCCCCGTCTTTATTTTTCAGGTTACTTCCAGGAGACAGAACCTGATTTCAGCCAGGCACCTTTCTGGACCAACAGTCACCCTGCTCTTGCAGCGATGGACCAATAACCAGCTTTGCTGCCCGACAGTAAAATACTGAAAGAGCATAAAATACTAGCTTTTGGGGATCACTGCCCAACGGGTACATGATATGTGTTCTAAAAGAGTTTTCAAAGACAAAAAATAGACTGCTAAAAAAGTTAGTATCTTGGGAAAAAATGGCTGGAATACAGTACAGGCCCCCTCTCGCATTCTTCAATGTTTTTGCAGAAGAAGCTTCATGGCATTTAATTGTTTCTGAATTCATAAAACACGCTGAATGCTTATTTCATACATACAGTATAAATAAGGGCATAAAGACACAATGCATATTTATCTACATTATATTCCTTGGGTTTTTTATAAGAAGGCACAATAATGTTGATAAAACAAAGACTCACCATGTAATATGCTAAATAGGGTAGAAGAAGTTTGAGTTTGTTGGGGTGAACGCTGACGTTGGCTTTCACTGCATTGCGGGACCACACAGGACGGAGTTCAAAAAGCTAAAAGAGATCACGCAGACATGAAGAAGTAAAAAGGCGAGATCCTGCCAGACTTTTTTTTTTAAATGACGCACAATCTATTTCAAAGAAACAGTTTCGACAAGTCAGCGTGATGCTTTATATCTCGCCGTAATAAACTCAGTTAGCCTTGCGTGGATAAAAAATCTCCATTCCCCAACTCATTTCTCTTGGACTGCCATTTCAGCTCATGCTTTATGAATCGCCCTCAGAACAGAGGATGTCTGGCACTTTCATTATCTTTTAAAATATATTTATAAGATTGCTGTGCTGGTTCATGACGGCAGCAAGGATTGGTTTGATTTGTACATCTGTACTGTGGCTGAACTTATTTTATTATGCTTTCATTAGGGTCTCTGGAAACTACCCAGAGTTTTATAATTGGGTGGTATGTCAACATTGCAGAATGAATGAAGTGAATGAATGAATGAATGAGTGAACATAATAATGAATATTTTTGTTTTATTTTTATTAATTTTTTATTTAATACAATTAATAAAATAAAAATTCTATTAATTTTTTATTAAATTGTTTTACTGGACTGTTGAACGCTGCCCAGTCACTTCTTGTGAGATGGGCGGCCATATAAATTTGATGAATAAATAAAAATAAATAAAACATAAAAGAGACTTCCATTTCAGGCTATGTTTAATGAACTGTCCTTCAAACCCTTTCACTAAAAGAGGGTGAATGAATATATTAAATCCATAAACTAAAGCTCCCCCTGTATTTGCCACTAAGTTACCCCAGTACGATCTCCAACATGTTACCCTCCACCCAAAAGCTATGGTTTGGTTCTGTTTTAAATGGGCCTAAGGCAGCTTTGTAAATTTAATTTGCATAGACATATATATAGGGCAAAAGGAAAGAGAAACGTTAGAGCTTTTGCAGCCTTTCCTGCAAGAAGAAAAAGCAAAACCCTGTGATCTGTTAAACTCTGGGAATTTGTACACAAACACTCTTTTTGCAGGGTAATTTATTCTGCTTGTCACAAAGAGGCAGGAAGGGCCCCAGAATTCCAAAGTCCAATTCCTGGCTGCCAGAAATCTTACGAAACCCCAGCTTTTGAGACTGCGGCAGTCGATGCTATTATATGTTCCAGTTCACCTCTGCAACCATCAGGACTAGGAACGTCCACTTTAAAGTAACACGAGTCCCAAATCCTCAGCATGCTGCATTTTTTGCCCAAAGTACGGACTGCCATTTTGTTGGAGGGGGTGGGAGGGGGTGTTGCAAGCTTCGGCAAACCTACTTTCTTCATTTCTTCTTCTGCTTGGTGATCCACAGCGTTGGTGCAGATTCTTTTCCAGGTCTGTTCTGCTGCGTCCAATGGCTTCGAGGGGACCTCTTCGTCCTCAAAGTTGACAAAGATGGCGTTGTGAGGTCGACGTGCCCTGCTGAGACCAATCAGGTTCTCGCTAGAAAGTGGAGGGTTGTGGTAGCCTTCCCTGTGGAACGATATCAAACAAACAAAGGAAACTCAACTCTAGCTAAACGTAGCGCTCAGTTGCCATGTACTCTAGCCCTCCCAAAAAACCACAACCTTCTGCTTATCCCTATAATGACATATCCTTAAGCATCCCCATGATCTAATTTAAGCAGCCCCATCCTTATCTTGTTTGCGGATTAGCCCCCCATCCCCAATCAAGGCAGGCTTAGGTATCTTTTTTGATTACTATTCTTTGTTAAGCACCTTGATCTGAACTGATTCCACTGCCAGCATGTAAGAAAGGCAATTAATCGGAATACATTACATTCTGGGGGGTATTTATTTTGGAGGATTTTTAGTTTGGATGAAGGACAAGAGTGAGAAAAATCACAGATGTTAGCATGGGAGGCCGTCCAGATGTTACATAGGATAATGGAAAAGCGAATAATGGAAAAGCAACCAAGGACAGGGACGTTTCTGGTCAATGACAGACATCTTGGCAGTTGGTTGCTAAAAGATCAGGAGCTGCACTGATATCAAAGAAATTATGTCACTGCTTGCATTTGCACCCGTTATGTTTTTCTGCCACTCTATATGCAAAAGCAAATGGGATTCAGCCCAGACATCATCGCCTATTTGGAAAACGCTTCCAAATATGATTAACGCATCTGGGCCCAAGTTGAGATTCATGCAGTTACGTGCAAGTCATTCAAACAGCAGGGTCCTCTGTGTGGCTACAACACGGGTGAGCAAGCAAGGGTGCGGAGAACACCGGGACAGATTACAGCTGCCTGTTGCGACTGTCAAAACTAATACCTGGTGCTTGCTGGAACCAAGAGGCTTCTGAAGATGTGGAGGACAAATTGTGATGGAATGGTTTGGTGAAGGCCGCGCTCGGGGAGATAAGCATTGCCTTAGCCCCCAGCAGGAGCGTGGGAAGGTTAAGAAGATTAGACTGGCACCACCCTAAGGAATTCGCGGGGTTTTGCTTGCTGCCTTGAGAAGTTTAGATTCAGTCTGGCAGGATTCTGTCTTGTGGGTGGAAGCTAATAAAAGCTATCAAACTAGACCTGCACTGTCTCGTGGAGTTCTTTGGGCTGAACCTGACATCAATCCTCCTGGATCAGTTGAGCATGTAAAACTCCCAGGCAGCTTAATTGTAAAACTCAAGAATAGAATCCCAGAGTTGTATTAAGTCAAAACACTTATTCAGCGCAAGAACAAAGGCATTCTTTGACACACAACTGTCTACCCTTTGCTTCAACACATCCTAACATGATGGTTTCCCAAACTACTCCTACTCTTGAAAAGTTTCGTATCATCTATTTATTTACAGTAATTATAACCCACGCTACTGAGAGTTGGATCTTTACTGCTCTCCAGAACACAAGTAGAGAAATCCGTCCAGAGATAGGCTATTCCAGTAAATATCTACTCACTTATATTGCAGGAAAAACACTTACCTGTGTTGCACATCTGGCCGATAGTAATAATCAATAGGAGTGTCCAGGCGTGAGAAAATGGGTGGAGGAATATAAAGTGGTAGCTCATTCATAAAAAAATCTTCTTTTTCTGGCTTGAGCATCAAGACTTTGTCATACATTGATGTTTGTTTACCGTCTGGCTCTGAATGCATTACCAAGTATTGGAAATCAGACATACCTATAGAGTGATATGAAAGTGCACACAGTACATTCATTCAGCAGCAACTGGATTCTCCCTCAATCTGCATTAATAAGAAACTAAATAAATAAATAAATAAAATAGGTCAAGATAAACAGTAAGCTATTTTAACATTCTCAGAATCAGATATATAACTAAGAGTTATCTATGGGTAAAATGCCCATCAGATATTAGGACTGTACACAGAAACATGTCAAACAAATAGGCAAATTGGAAAGTTATCAAATTGGTTAGCCAGAGCGGACAAGAATAAAAATACCAGATTATGTATTGTTAAACAGCTCTGAGCATCTTATAACCCTAATATGCGTAAATAGTTTTAAACAACTAAGAAACAACAAACCGCTTTAGGAGCAACATTTAATTAAAATTTAAATCAATGTTATTTTAATTGGATTTTTAAAAACTGAACTGGATTTTTAAAAACTGAAAATGCTACGTTTCTTTTAACTAGGTTAACTCTGAATAAAAGCAAGTACAGTCAATGCCTAAAATTAATTGCTATCTTCCTTTTTATATGTTATTGAATAAGAAAAGGCTTCAATAGTGGATATCCATCGTGGAACT